TATATATATATATATATAATTCACCATATGGATAGAGAGATTCTCTCTGCTCCTCAACCTGATGCCTTACTCATTAACAAAGACCTTCAGGTATTTTATAATCTTGGAACAACCACCCAAACACTATAAATGCATAAACGAGACAGAACATAATGTATTATGTCTTAAAAAATATTTTCATTTTTGAACATACAGAACAGTAACATTTCAAAAAGTCATTTCGGCAAGGAGAGAATAATATACATAGCATTTAACAGACAATACATAACTGTCTATTGTTAAAAAAAAGTATTGTGTATTCTCAGGTATCTAAAGAATACACAAAGAAAATATTCTTTTTATTTTTTTCTTTAACCTTTTAGGTGACACACTTAATAATGCCCCTTTCTGGACACTGGTCATTTACAAAGCACAGTAATTAAATACATTAGGAATTAAATCTTAAAATGAAATTTCATTGTCAAATTTGTCTCGGATTACCCAAAACTAATTCATAACGAACTTCACAAATGTACAATTCCCACACTGACCATAACATTTCAATGACAACATTTCATGTCAATTCATGTCAGCATGGAAAAAGAAAATATTTAATATATAAAGCTGAAGTGTGACTTTTTTTAAGTTTAAATCTTCAATGTACTGTAAACAATGACTAAAGCAATGGCATGAGTTTGCGGTTGAACTATATGCTGTTCGATCAATGTGTATAAAATATACAAAAGAAATGCATAGTACTATTTAAAATGTGTTTAAGATCACATACATGAAATGAAGATATATCATATCGGTTTTGATAACACTTTATTTTGATAGTCCATTTGTACGACATTCAACTAACTCTAAATAAGTTTGCAACTCCATATCAACTAGCAGTCATTGATCAGAGTATTAGTAGACTGTATACTTAATATCCGCAAACACTTTATTTATTTCCCCAACACATTCTGCTGACTATAAAAAAGTACTTACTCTACTAACCCTAACCTAACAGTCTACTAATACTCTAATGTTAGTTGATATATAGTTGCAGATGCAGTTAGTAGAATGTTTAAAGTGGACTACTGAAATAAAATGTAACCAATGGTTATATTCTACATGGAGCGAGTCCCCTCATAGAGGCCACCGTGTTGAGATCACATGACTAGCCAAATACTACTCTGTTTATGCCATTAACTCCCTGTTTTGTACATTTTCAATTACAGAATAAATCATGACTGACTGTGAATAGCTGATGGCATGATTAACTAAAAAAAAAAAAAAAAAAATGTTTTTGGCTAGTGTTCAATAACATCAAAAAAAAAAAAAAAAAAACTTTTGCATGATGCTTTATCCATACAACTAGGTGTCTGTTTAACCCCCAAGACCACTGTCACTGTCATTTTTCCAACAAATAGATTGCACCTAGATTGCAAATCTAGGAGTGACATTCCTACCATTCAAAAATAGATGGTTCTGCATTAGTGATTAATGGTGATTTCAAATGAGAGCCTATAAGCCTACCTCGGTCACACCTCAGTCTCTGGTAGTGTTACCAACAACATCTTTATGAAGTTCTTTATGGTCAGTAACTGTAGAATTTAAATTCTAACCACTGGTTGGCAAGTCTGATGGAATTTAGAAGTGTGTGGCTCTTACACAGGACTTTCTAAGGAATCAGGAACCCCAGCAGGTCCTATATGATGGCCTTGAGGCATCCCAAAGGTTGTTTGAATAGGCTGTGGGTAGTCATGGATGTGATGTTGACTAGAAGACATGGAGTTTGATCTAGCTGTTGGGTGGATAACATGGTGGACCTCTGGCATGGTATACTGGTCATACTCTGGAACTGCAGACATGTCAGTATTAAGAGGGAGAGCTGGAATTTGCAGGAAGTGCTCAGTGTCATCGCCACCAGTAAGGTAGCCCATGTCAAGAATTTCTGGAGCAGTGTGCATGAAGGAGGGCATCTGCACCAATTCATACTGGAGAAAACCTTGGATCCCAGGAGAATAGATCTTCTGAAGGCAATCTGAGGTATCCCAGTAATAGCCTGTTTGAGTTTGAAAACCAGACTATTTGACACATTTATTATTAAGATCATAAAGAACTCATTATACTGTAGGTAAACATATAGTTTGAACGGGGG